GTCGATCTTTAGTAAGTATCCATCTTAACACCCACTTTAATTAAAGAAAGATAATTTATAAAAACAATAGTAGACTCTACTATTCAAAACAGTACCTATCAGATGGTATGGTTTCAATAGATATTTGTTGAATGAATTTTGAATTATTAGAAACGTCGTCTATACTGACAATGTTGTCTATACTGACAAACATTGTCTATACTATTACTCAAGTAATCCAATCTGTACTCATTTTAGTGAGAGTGAGGTTTTCTTTATTCGATTTTGCAAAATCAGGTACCCTCCACAAATGGTTTTTATTCTTGTACCCCAAAAGTCCCTCCTCCAGTTCCAGGCCTCCATATATGATTCTAGGTACATCCCATTTTCCCTCCCCCCAGAGAAGCCAAAATGGCTTGCCCAAGGTATTAATGGCTATATTTTTATTTAAATTTCCTAGTCCCAGAATAGCCTGCTTAAATAAAAAATTGTCTGTCTGCCAGGTCTTGCAAACTCATGAATTCCTAAAGATGGACCACAAGAGTTATTTCTCACAGAATGAACCACACAGCTCACATTTCAGTGTTCATTGGTGAAATGGTTAAGTGAAGGTTAAAGGTGTAGGCTTTGGAATAAAACAGACATGGTCAAGTCTGGACCCTTCCATTCACTAGGCTGTGACTATTTCATGTTGCAGTTTCTAGTCAGTGAATAATATTTCTTACAAGTGAGGTTACCCTGAGTCAAATGGACTTGACAGTAAATAGGGGCTTTCTGCGGTTGGCCTGGGTGGTTACCATCAAAATGGGCAAGTTCATGAAACTGGAGAAGGTTGTGCTGGTCCTGGCTGGACGCTACTCCTGACACAAAGCCATTACCATGAAGAACATTGATGATTGCACCTCGGACAGCCCTTACAGCCAGGTTCTGATGGCTGGAATGAACTGTTGTCTTCACAAAGTGACAGCTGCCATGAGCAAGAAGAAAACTGCCAAGAGGACAAAGATCAAGACTTTTGTGAACATTTATAACTACAATCACCTCACAAAACTGTCGTCAATAAGGATGTCTTCGGAGACCCTGCTCTAAATCACAAGGCCTGGGGGAGGCCAAGGCCAAATTTGAGGAGAAATACAAGGTGGGCAAAAAGGAGTAGTTCTTCCAGAAGCTATGGTTTAATATCTTTATTGTTTGTTTGTTTGTCATTAAAAATGCAGGAAAACAAAACAAAGACCACTATAGGAGTAGTGTGAGGATTGTTGTTGTTATGTGCCGTGGAGTCGGTTCAGACTCATAGCGACCCTGTACAGGGTTTCCGAGGCTGTAAATCTTTACAGGAGCAGATAAACCTCATCTTCTTCACACAGAACAGCTGGTAGTTTCAAAGAGCTGACCTTGAGGTTCGTTCGCACCCCGATTCGTAACCACTACGCTATGTGAGGATTAGAGGTGATAAATACCACGACATATAACCACCATTGCCACATCACCACTATTAGGCTACCAGAATCTGAGGTCTGAAAAGACAGTGAATGTATAGCTCAGAACACAGAGTCTGGCACATAAAAAGCATTCAGCATGGTGGTGGTGGTTCCTATGCTAACCAGAAAGTTAATAGTTCAAATCTACAAGTCACTCCTCAAAAATGCTATACAGGATTGTTATGAGTTGGAACCGACTTGACGGCACTTAACAAAATCAACAACAATATGCCATATATAATGTATTTATTTTTCTAAAATAACATAATAATATCAAAATTTGAAAATAGAAAAAGGGAAAAATCGATCTAGGTCCTCATATTCAAATATTTCCATTGTTATCATGTCTATGTAATGTGTTTGGTTAAATGATGTCTTTGGTCACTGGTTGGTGGTTATGTGTTGTGGAGTTTGTTCCGACACATAGTGTCCCTGTATAGGGTCTTTGAGGCTATAAATCTTTACAGGAGCAGAAAGCCTTTTCCTTCTCCTGCAGAATGGCTGGTAGCTTCGAACTGCTGACCTTGAGGTTAGCTGTCCAAAGAGCTCTCTAGGAAATTGGTATTCATTTCCTTCACTTTAACAACAAGACTAGTCATATTTACCTTGTAAGTACCCTTGAAAAATATTTTTATATTCTTGTAGAGGAGTGATTTACCGTGTAAGGGTAATTCCCGTTTCATTTGTAAGCATATTATCAAATTTTTGCCCAGCCTCAGGTCTAATCAAGTCACTTTTACACTTATCTATTTTAATTTGTGCTATTTAAAAACAAAAAAAAACCCCCCACTTCATCTCTTTACTGGAAAGAACTGAAGGAATAATTTGGATAAATGTAAAGGAAGACTGAGACAGAGAGTGAAGGAAGAAAGCAATAGTCGAATGTGAAAGTTCTGGATTTATAATTAGATCTGATACTACCTCTGCTCTATAATTTACAGATTGGTGTGATTCTGTGTCTCTCTGGGTTTTATTTATTGCAAGGTTAGTGGGGTTGTTAGTGATGAAGGCTCATGAAATGAGCTCTGAGTGAACTCCTTTTACTATTCTATGTAAGGAGTGGGTAAACTATGCAGCAGGCTAAATCCTACTGGCCACCTGTATTTAGTACACCTGTGATGTAGCAATGACTTTTGCATTTTTAAGTGGTTGAAAGGTTAATCAAAATAATTTTTTTGCAACATTGTATATAATTTATATATATTTTTTCTTGGAATACAGCCACAATCATTCATTTATATATTATCTATGGCTGATTTTGTGCCAAGATGGAAGAGTTGAATAATTGCCATAGAGATCTTAGAACCCAACCTTTGCTCCCGTAAAGATTTACAGCCTTGAAACCCGGGTATCTATGAGTCGGAACCAACTCCACAGCACATAACAACAACAATAACAACAGAAAGACTTAAAGCATCAGAAATCCTCTGGCTTGCTATGAGTCAGAACCAACTTGACGGCAACTGGCATCTAACAACAACAACTTTGTTCTATGCATATTTAGTATGCCTGCTTCTTCTGAGCTGGTGCATCTCTTTTATATGAGGTATGAGCTTACTAGGTATCTTTAAACATGTTATTATTTTTATGTATAACCCCAAATTGTTCAGTTTCCTAAAAGAAAGGACTCGGTTTTGCTCACCAACGGAGGTAAGTCAAAAAGTATTGCTATTTGGAGTCCAGTTCATATTGTTTATTACAGACAAAACATGTTTAAATTTGTCTGTGATGGCTGAATGACTGCAGACAAGTTCTCTAGTAATACACTTCTTTTAGTCTCATTGTTATTAAGTCCCGTTGAGTCAGTTCTGACCCACAGTGACCTTGTATAGGGTTTCCAAGGAGCAGCTGGTGTGCTTGAACTTTGCAGTCCAGCGCATTAGCCCACAGCAGTACTCCATATGTTGTAAATGGTGGTGGTGGTGGTGATGTGCCGTGAAGTCGGTGCAGAGTCATAGCGACTCTGTACAGGGTTTCTGAGGCTGTAAATCGTTACCGGAGCAGAAAGCCTCAAGTTTCTCCTGCGGAAGAGCTGGTAGTTTTGAACTGCTTGATCTTGCTGTTCGCAGCCCAATTCCGTAACCACTAAGCTACTAGAACTGCTTGTGTTGTAAATGGTGGTGGTTATGTGCCATGGAGTCGGTTCCAAACTCATAGCGACCCGGTATAGGGTTTCCGAGGTTGTAAATCTTTACCGGAGCAGAAAGCCTCATCTTTCTCCCACGGAACAGCTGGTAGTTTGGAACTGCTGACCTTGCTGTTTACAGCCCAATTCGTAACTACTATGCTAGGGCAAAATAGTAGAGGGTAAAATTCTTTGGGGAAGGGTTTTAGAAATGCAGACACCACCTTCAAAAGTGTATAGACCTAGATGAAGTATATGCGGAGTACAAATAGCATCACATTTTCATATTTTTGTTTAATAAAGGTTTCTATGATTTAGTTGCAATTTGCTTATACATAGGTTCACTATTTGTTGTTAAATAAACATCTAACCCCTGTGCCAAGGCAGTGATTACTAAACTCCAAAAAGACTTTCTCAGTTAGTACAAACTAAGTTAAGCAAGAGGCGACTGTAGGGTAAACACTAAACTTGGTTGGCAGCAGTTCGAGCTCACCAGCTGCTCCGCGGGAGAAAAATGAGGCTTTCTGTTCCCACAGAGATTTACAGCCTTAGAAACCCTGTACAGGATTGTTATGTGTCGGGAACGACAGGACAGCACTTATGAACAACAACAAACTAAAAGGTGTCTATTTCATATTAAAAAAAAAAAAATCTTTAAAATACTTTTTTGACAAAAATTCTCCCTGCAAAATGACCCTGCATTTTAGATATGCAGCTATGAGAATGAGAATAAAGAAAAACTACTGGATTTGTTTTACTTCCTAAATGAAGTATATATTAATAATACCGGCACATTGAGATGGCCTCAGCCTTTTACATCCATACGCCACGTTTAAAAAATTACGATTATCTGAACCTAAGGTATGGTGTCAGGAACATTCTGCATAGTTTAAGAATAGCCGTAAAAAATGCAAGAGTAAGTGGCGATCAAAATGGGTGTGTTAAGAGAAAAAAAAGTAAAATTTTACATTCTGTGCAATGTGTTGAACGTGAACGGATTGCACGTTGTGTTGCAGATTTACTACAGCTGAGTCATTTCGGGACACGAGTGTTTTTCCAGGAAAAACGTGAGGAAGGAACCAGGATAGGGGCTCACCGGGTAGCCCCAAGCAGCCCCAGCAGCCGACTCCGGTATTCCGTGGCGGGCGGCGGCGTGCTTAAAAAAAGGCGCCACGGCCCCTTTAAGAGGCACAGCACCTTCTCCAAGATACCATCTTGCACCAGGAGTTCAATTGAACTCTCTACCTACCTTGTTATATCTCTCCTCCTTAACTGGGTACGGCTCGTCGGCGGGGCGAGCGAGCCTTTTCATTGGCTCTGAGCGCACAGCCCTCTCTAACTTATTGGTTCACGTGCTTGTCAGTTGGCCCTATCGCCCGCCTACCTGAGCTAGCCTACTAGGTTGAGTGAGGGCCCTTGGGTTAGTTCCTGTTAGGCCCGGACCGGGGGATTAGGTTGAAGTCTCCTAAGATGCCCAGTGGGCTAAGGCAAGAGGATCTGTAAGGGGTGCGTGAAGAAGCGGCGCGGAGAGACCCACGGCAGGCCTGAAGAAGAGCGGCGGCCAAGCCCGCCCTCCCTGCACCATGCTCATAGAGGATGTGGATGCCCTCAAGTCCTGGCTGGCCAAGTTACTAGAGCCGATGTGAGTGAGGCAGGCTGGGCCGGCGCCGGTGAACGTGGGCGTTGGGGTCCCGCGGGGGCGTGGGGGGAGGGGAGGCGGCGTGGGGGTCAAGGGGCCGCGGTCCGGAGGTCCCGGCTACGTCTTCTCTGTAGTACTAGCACCATTGTGGGGGGGAGGGGCAGGGGAGCAGGGGCGTAGAGGCGGTGTTGATGGGGACGGGCTGGCAGGGACAGCGAGGGCTTTTTAAATACAGATGTCGGGGCGCTAGAAAGAATAGCAGGGATGGTGCGAGGATTTAAAATATTAATACTGGAGGACCGAGAGGGATAGGTAGTAAGACTGTCGAGGGATTTTTCCATGCGAGTGTTGGGACCTTCAGGGGAACAGCAGGATATTGAGGGCTTTACAAACAATATTAATCAGGGATTGAAAGCAGAGTATCCAGGGCTTTTTAAAACATTAGAACAGAACGGGGTAGCAGAGGCGCTGCGATTGTTGGTGTGGTCTAAGGGTTCAAGAGTATTGACAGGTTTAAAAAGTACGAGGAAGTTGAAATCTATAAATGAGCATTGAAGGGTTCTAGAAATTATTGGGGGTGTTGATAGTATGATAGCAAGCGTATTAAGGAATTGTAAAGTATTATGCTAGGAGAACTGAAGGAAATGTAAATACCTTTGGGGGCTCTGAAAGAATGTTGACGTTTTCTAAGTTTAATTGGGGGCCGAAAGAGCTATCCTGGTGTCATAATATTCTTGGATGAGGGGTTGAAAGAACCTGCGGCATCTAGGACATTTTCAGTATAGATGTGAGAGGAATAAAAGAGAGAACAAGGAAGAGTAAGGGCTCTGTCAGTATTGTTGAAAGATTGCAAGCGTGACTCGAAGGGGTGTTAGTGAGGAGCTGAAAGGGATGAGTAGGACGTGTACTTTTAAATGTTTTGGGTAGTATTAGGTAATTGTAGAAATATTAGTGAGAAGCTTGAAAGAAGAGATAGAGGTACCAACTTTTTGTTTTATATCCAAGGGATAGGGTTTTGGAGTGTTTGAGGGAAGTGGGATAGAGAGATAGCTAGTCTGGGACAGGTCTCCTAGGTGGAAGGAGAAGGCAGGTTGGGAGATAGCAGAGGTATCAACTTTTTGTTTTATATCCAAGGGATAGGGTTTTGGAGTGTTTGAGGGCACTGGGATATAGCTAGTCTGGGACAGGTCTCCTAGGTGGAAGGAGAAGGCAGGTTGGAAACCTGGAACACTGGAAAGGGGATGTTAATTTCCTGCCCCCTCCTCATTTCCACCTGGCCTGTGCATTCTCTCTAGAGTAGGGGTAGAGGAAGAGATACACAGGCGTGGGTGTGTTAGATCCCTTTAATGGAAAAATGGAGTGTCTTTCAGAGGTGGACATAAGGAAAAGAGTGGTTTGGGAGATTTGGAAGCATGGTGAAGTTGGGCCTCTTGAGAGACAGTGTCATGTTCCTTCCCTGTTTATTTCCTGGTACTTCTGAGGAACCTTCTTAAGCTAACTTTTGTTTTGTTTTGTTTAGCTACTTTGGTTTCTTGGGGTGGACGGTGACACCTAAGAAAAGAGTCATCTGCAGTCTAGTATGTCAGCTCTTTGAAGGCAGGACAGGGAAGGGAGGTGACTTTAGGGGACATGACATTTACATTGAGGATAAGAAGTATGTGTGAAGAACATAAATGCACACTAAAGGCTTCTGAGCTATGGAATAATGAAGGGTGTGGTGCTGTAGGATTAGTGCTGGACTGCGAATCTCAAGGTTGGCAGTTCAAACCTACCAGCTGCTCCTTGGAAACCCTATGTAGGGTTGCTCTCGAGTCGGAACCGACTTGAAGGCGCTTAATAACAACAAGTTAAAGTGAGGAATCCTGGTGTGGTGCTGTAGAATAAGCACTGGATTGCTCACTACAAGGTGAGTGGTTCAAACTCACCAGCCGCTCCTTGGAAATCCTGTACAGGGTTGCTATGAGTCAGAACTGACTCCATGGCACGTACCAACAACAGTTAAAGTGAAAATGACTTCTGAACACACTTGAACATTTTGTTAGATGTGGACCTCTTGAGTGTACATTATACTTAACAGTAAAGAAAATTGGGGGCCACAAAGATAGAGATAGATTGTGGTAAAGATGGGAAACACTGCCATAGATGAATGAAAACGACCAAATATGGAAAATGCTGAAAAGTGGGGGGAAAAATTGTTTAAAAATACCTTTACAGTATTTAAGATTGAAAAAAGAAATCTTTACTTTTTACACCTGCTATTCAGTACTGTTGCGTTTTATTTTGTTTCCTACAGTTTTCCATGCAAACTGATTTTATTTGTTGACAGAGATATTTATAGTGTATTAAACCTACTGCCATTATTTCAGTTCTGACTCAGTAATCCTTTAGGACAGAGTAGAAAGAACTAACTGCTTTTTAGAGTTTCTGAGATTATAAATTTTAGGAAGAGCAGAAAGCTTCATCTTTCTTTTGTGGAGGGGTTGGTTGGTTTGAACTGATGACTTTGTAGTTAGCAGCCCAAATACTGCCAGGACTCCTTTTAAAATGTATTAAAGGTATATCTTATATCTTGGATAGAAGATAGCTTTCAAAATTATAGCTACTTGCTTTTTCTTTTGATTTTGAACTCCCTACAGTGTCTTACTCATGGTAGAGCTGACTTTAATGTTCAGATTCACTTTAGGTAGGAACTTTCTAAGAATGTTTTCACTTGGCTCTTAAAGACTCTTGAGATTGATAAATGTTCAACAGATTCTGTAGTATTCATGGTAAGGTTAATGTTCAAATGATTACATGAATTTAGTTTTACCATTTGTTTCAAGTTACAAGTTTAACTTACAGCACATATCCTGCTTCTTTTTCTTTTTTTATTTGTTGTTGTTGTTGTTATGTGCCGTGGAGTCGGTTCTGACTCAAAGCGACCCTGTACAGGGTTTCCAAGGCTGTAAATGTTTACGGGAGCAGAAAGCCTCATCTTTCTCCTGCGGAACCGCTGGTAGTTTCGAACTGCTGACCCTGAGGTTCGCAGCCCAATTCGTAACCATTACTCCATCAGAGCTCCTTTATTAGGGTTTAAAAAAAGACCTAACTTCTTAAATTAGTGTTTAACCGTATGTAATGGTGTTGCATGTTGTTGTTGTTGTAAAGTGTCGTCGAGTCGATTCCGACCCATAGCGACCTTGTATAGGGTTTCCGAGGAACAGCTGTTGAGCCTGAACTGCCAACCTTGCAGTTCAGACAGATTTGCAGTCTGGTGTATTAACCCACAGTGCCATACCAGGACTCCAATGATGTTGGATGGAAGTATTAATAAGAAATAGTAAGTGCAAATGCAGATATATATTTTCATTGTTGTTTTGCTGTCATGGGAGATTATTTTTTGTTTGTTTAAACAACCTAAAGTGTAATAAATTACATACTGAAGTAGGCTGTATTTGTAAGTTTACTTTTTGCATATTCCAGATTCAAGAAAATTTTCTTAGCAGATTGGCATGTTGCTACAACATAGCATTTCAGAGCAGTTGTTAGGCTTTCAGATAATGTAGTTGGAGTGGCTATGTTAGAATCACATTATGATGGTACACAATTTTGGATTGCATTTTGTTATTTAACTTAATTTACAATTAGCAAAATTTATAAAAGCATCCCAATAGTTAGGGGTTTAAAACGTGTTTCATCTCGTCACTGGTGAAACAAAGGCATGTCGCAAGTTAGGAGGTAGTTCTAAACTAATCCAGTTAACTAGAGATCATTTCCCTGTGGTCTCAAGTTAGAAATGTGTTGGACTGTTAGAGTTTACCTATTACTTTCCACTCTGTTTGAACTGTGGAACATACCTATCATTTTATCAGAGGGAAGGTAGAAGGAGACAATGGAAGAAATGACTCTTGTTGGCATGGAAAAACCCGCTAGTACCATTATTTTTTCTTTGCAGTGCAGTAAAAGGGAGGGGAACCATATCTTTCTCAGTAAGTTTTTATCTTTCTGCCCTACATGAACAGTCTAGAATCAACAGGATCTTGTTTGCGAGGGGGGTGTTTGTCTTGCTGCACCTTCAAAGTATCCTGATCATAGAGACCATACAGGCATAAACCAGGCTCACTGCCATCAAACTGATTCTGACTCATGGTGACCCCACAGGACGAGTAGGGCTTCCTAGGCTGTAAATCTTTACAGAAGCAGATGGCCTCATCTTTTTCCCAGAGTGGCTGGTGATTTTGAACTGCCGACCTTTTGGTTAGCATCCCAGTACTTAACCTACAGTGCCACCAGGACTTCGTGTTTTTTGCATTTCACAGATATACTGTATTTTTTACAAATTGAAGATTTCTGGCAACTGCATCGAGCAAATCTTACTAGTGCCATTTTTCCAATAGCATGTGCTCACTTCGTGTCTGTCACATTTTGGTAATTCTCAAAATATTTCAGACTTTTTCATAATGGTGATGCACACTTAATGGGCTACAGTACTCATAGTATAAACATGACATTTATTTGCACTGGGAAACAAAAAATATTTCTGTGACTCACTTTTTCATGATGTTTGCTTTATTGCAGTGGTCTGGAACTGAACCTGCAATATCTCCGATTTGACTGGGTAGAGATTATGCACATAGTCTGGAGATGTGGTTTCTTTAGATCAAAAATGACTGCTCATTTAAATATAGGAACTGCGTCAAAGAAAAGGTTTAAGTAAATCCAGCAGGTAAATAAATCACAGAAGAAACTTTTATGAGCTTAGAAAAAGTCAGGCAAGCATTTTTCAACTAACTTATGTTTCTACTATAGTATTATTTGACTTACTGTAAGTTTGTCTAGGTGTATGTTTTAAAAATGATGAGGTTTTTGATACTTTTTGGACAGTTGTATGTGAATGAGGGCACTTCTAGGTCCATATCAATTTCTGATTCACTGTGTGACTTAGGAGAAATTATCTATTAAACAGAGGCTAATAAGCCTTTTCTGTATTTGACTAGTATGATATGAATAATAATGCTTTGTAT